GAGCTAGGCTGACGCCACGGCACTCACTCTAGCCTGGGCAACAAGCGAGACTCTGTCTCAAAAAAACAAACAAACAAAAAGACAAATACATATATATTTTTTAAATTAGGGTATACCTTTTTACTTTTTTTTTTAAAATGGACTAAAGATTGGTGGAGGGGAATAGGGCTCCTGCCTTCAGTCACAGGAAGAAAGGCAGCTGGGGCGTGGAAGAAAGGATTCCAGGGCAGAAGGCAGGAGTCCCAGGATTCTAATACTGGATCCCCATGACTAGTGTGGAACTTTGAAACAGTGATTCCTCCCCCCAGGTCTCAGTTAAATCATCTGTCAAATGAGGATGATCACATCTTCCCTACTTCACCACTGGGCTGTGAGATGAACCAGAGCCCCTACCTTTTTTCCCTGATGACCTCCTACTCATCCCTGGAGCATCAATTCAAATGTCATCTCCTCCATGAAGCCTTTCATTACTTTCCCAGTCATACGGAGTTAGTGGCTCTATCCTCTGGGTTTAAAACAGAAATGTCTGTAGCATCCTCCCTGTTTCCTTGCATTGTCCTATTTCTTTCAATTTCTCCCACAGCCAGGAAGATCACAGAGTGAGAAGCTCCTAAGGGGCCACCAGTTCACAATTAGCCATTCAATAAATACTTCCGTAATGAAGGATGAATGAATGATAGCGTTTCTTGGCCCACATTTGTATGTACTTTTTACATGATTCTGCAAAGACTGTAAGTCTCTCTTTCTAGTAACAAAGGGTCCTGGGATATAAAATCATACCAACAATTCAAATATTTAGTGTTTCTCTTTTCAGTAACAAACGGTCCTGGGATATAAAATCATACGCAACAATTCAAATATTTAGTGTTATTTTGATGAAACACGGTGGGGGGGGTTGTTGTTGTTTTCATTTTGAGGCGGGGTTCTCCCTATGTTGCCCAGGCTGGCCTCAAACTTCTGGTCTGGAACAATTCTCCCACCTCCACCTTAGCCTCCTGAGTAGCTGGGACCGCAGACACATGCCACCCCGCCAGAAGTGGGTGTCTTTTTAATAAAAGAAAACGTTGCTTTTTGACAAATCTAGGAGGATAGACACCCCTATAATCTCCACGACTTGTTTTACTTTTCACCTAGTACCTGGCTTTTATATTTATTTTTGGAGACACAGTCTCACTCTGTCGCCCGGGCTAGAGTGCCGTGGCGTCAGCCTAGCTCACAGCAACCTCAAACTCCTGGGCTCAAGCGATCCTCCTGCCTCAGCCTCCCGAGTAGCTGGGACTACAG